TTTTAGATATTTTTGGGCTTCTATTTTTAGAGGAAATTCTGCCCAAATTTTTTAAAATTAGTAGGGATTAGCTTGATGTTTTGATGGTTGGATATGTGTTGATGATTGAGTATGTATTGATTAATGTGAATTATGATGATTGTTATGTACGATTGTAAGTTTTGTAAACATGTTTAGATTTTTATGAGTTCCTATTTTTAGAGAAAATTATGTCGAAATTTCTGGATATTAGTATGGACTACTTTGATTTCAAATTCACAGGTTGTTTTAGGTTGTAAAGAGTCTTTAGGTAATGTAAGATTTTTCAAGTTTTAGGTTACATGAGATTACTTTGATTTCGTTACGTCGTGCCTTCAGGCACGAACAATTACTAGTATCCTATATTTGAGTTAATAATTGGCAAAAAAAAAAAAAGGTGAAAATTGTTGAAAAGTTCAATTTTCGGAACTTTTTTGTAAATAATTCTAAACAATGACTTTTTTAAGTCATTAAAACTACGATTGGTATGACTCATGAAATATAATAAGTGTTTATCAAAAATATTTTATAAGAAAAATAATTTTATTAAATAAGTATTATTTAGATATTTAAAATTAAAAATACTTAAATTAAAGTATTTTATAAAAGTACTTTAAGTAATAAAAATACTTATTTGTGTCACCGCATATATACAAATATATACTACACATACAATAATATAGAAAAAAATACCATATTAATAAAAATATCGCACAAAAAAATTATATAATCCAACTATCCACGCTACCTTAACTATATATCAAAGTCACAAAGTGCAAACCGACACCAATGAAGGCTAAGGGTAAAATGAGGCAGCCACTTGAAAAAACGAAAAAGATTACCTGCATCCTTCAACCAAGTCTTAACATAATTTTCGAAGGGAGAAAACCTTACAACAATATGTCTGGGATCTAGTGATGTTACAAAAAAATTTCCCTTTATTGCTCACTTTGTGCTGATAAACTCTGTGATTACACCTAGCGATGGTCTTCCATAAGAGTGCTTCCTCACCTAAGTTTGATAAAAAAAACAGAGAGCTGAGAGTCTGTGTTTCCTCCTTACTCCAATAGAAGGATGGTTCTCCATTAATAAAAACATCATTCTAGATGGGATCAAATACTTAACATGAAGATTGAAAAATTAAAGGATAAAACAAAGATGCAAAAGATTTATCTGATGGTTTTGGTGGATTAAGATTGATTATGTGTGTGATGGACATGAATGAGAAGTTTTAGAGAGAAGTCACTCTCTAAATAAATGTTAAACCTGTTTATTAGACAACTATTGTTTCTACCTACCTCAACACATACACAACAATGAAACAAACAAAAAACACTGAACATAACAAGGTTAGAAAATATACATTATTATCGGCAATTGAGCTAGAGCAGACAAATTTCTAAAATTTGTGGGTAGTAGATAAAGATGGGAGTCGAAGAATGCTTCGGAATATGTCCACGCTTGAAAGCTAAAGCCAAGAATATTGAGTTGTTGAAGGCGAGGGAAGAAGAAGCATAAATTAAGGACAATATTAATTAAAAAAAATTTTTGAATTAAATTTAGGGAGAATGACACTTTGCACCCAAAAACACTTTATACTTTGAAACAAAAAACATCAATATAGTCTAAAAATAAATGTCTAAAATTAAGGATAATTTTAGTTAATGCGCAACTGTTATATATAAAAAAAACTAATAATTGAGGAGGCAACGTTAGACATAGGATATAATTGAGGGAGTTAAAGTATAATTTCTCCACGGAGAACTACCACAACTGAAATTAACTGAATCAGCTTCTTTTGAGACGATAGACTTGGAAGAAACAAGTGAGAGAGAAAACGCGCTTCCGAACCGCTGTCAGGGTTTCACAAAGCAGAGACAGACCACCATTTTCGTTGCTTCGACCTCAATCTCATTCGCGTTCATCATCTCAGCTCCGCTCAGTCCCCGGAAGGTTCGTCAATTCTATATTCTCTGCGTCGTCACATATACATATACATATACATATAGGGGTGTGTGTGTAATGGTATAATAATCGAAATTTGTTTGGTACTCGCAGGCCTTCATTTGGAATTGCTTTTGACATCGACGGGGTTGTACTTCGCGGCCGAACTCCAATTGGAGGCTCTCCCGAAGCTTTGAGAAGATTGTATGATGATTTTGGTACTAGTATGTTGTGCTTATTGTTTGTTATTGTTAGAGTATTTCAATTTTTAGATTTATTGTTTAGTTTAATACACATGTCAAATTGTCTGTTTCTAAGCTGTATGTTCAACAATTTGTACTCAATAGTATCCCTGCCTTAAACACTACTTCAATCCACCAGTTCTTATCTCAACTGGGCTCAACTCATCAACTTGGTGTTCGAGGTTAGCAGTTGGCACCGCCCTGGGAACTTCGTCGTCCCCCTCCCCCATAATAGTGCCCGACCAAAAAACCAACAACTATTTGGTGTTCCCAAGTGGGAGCCAGATAAATGATTTGTAATAGTTAGCAGAATTTAAACAGGACTTACTTAAGCATGTGCAAAAAATGTTATTTGATTTGCATTATATTTATCTTCTATCATGCTACTTTTTTCTATTTTGTGGATATATTAATTTGTAATCCTACAATTGTGGGTCCTATTTAATTCGGTTGGTCTATTTCATTGTTGAGATCATATTGCTTGACTCGATTGTGCAAGCCACCATAACGCTGGGATAGATAAACTAACATGAGTTTGTCACTTTGTCTTATGGACCAAAAAGTAAGAACCAAGAAAACTTGCAATTATATGCAAGTCTCGCAGTTTATTAGATGGAGTTGGCACTTGTGGTTAATTTAGTTTGAAAGTGTGGTGGCCTCCACGGCACTGGATGCCTAATATGTTGTTTTGTTGAAGGAGTGATGATAAAACTTGCTGTTGTTTTGGTCCCTGCATGTTACTCAAGTTTATGACTGCTTGTCTGCAGGTACTCTGAAAATACCATTTCTGTTTTTGACAAATGGTGAGTGCTTTGGATGATTTATCCTTGCTTGTATTATCTAAGTAATAAGCCTTTATTTTTGTAGTTGTGAAATATTTGGTTGCCGCTCTTTAGAACAATACTTGGGTTCTTATAACCAAGAAAATGAGAACACTGCTTTTAATGTGATATCCCTCTGCTAACAATCCTGGCGACCCATCCATGTGTACTCTTTGTAGACACAGGAGGGATGGAATCGCAGCTTCAGTTATCTTTACCACGGAATTGAGAAGCCCGAAATTATGTGCATTTCATGATATCTAGAAATGCAACGGATATGTAATTGGATTCAGTTTCCATAGATCTTTTCAGTAAAGTTTGAGTTTGAAGTACTGTTGCAGTCTTCATTTGGGCACATGAAATACCGTTATGAGCAAACCTGTTTAGAATTTTTTTTTCAATCCCAACACTGACATAATCAGTTCCAAACTTCCAAGAAATCACAGAATGAATTATATGCTTGACTTAACCTCCAATATATTTTATGCTCAAGCTTCCTGCCCAAGAATAAATTTCATTTGGGGATGATTCATTTGTGTCATTTCTTTCTGTGCATGTATATCGAAGTCTTCCATATGTGTTAAGTTTATGCACAGAATAATTTCAGCAATAAGATATCATGATTTATGTTGTCATCCATACTTTTTGAGGCAGGAAACATTCTTTTGAGCAGTTGACTAACTGTTTAGTAGTCTTGTATTTCAAAAGGAGGTGGCATCCCAGAGTCTAGACGAGCCTCTGAGTTGAGTGAATTTCTAGAAGTAAAAATTTTACCTTCTCAGGTAACGTTCTGAAATTCTCAAAAACAAGGGTGGACTTTCCTAGTTTAGCTTTTCTGCACTTGTTTCGCTGATAGTACCTTTAGCATGGTTGTCTTTGTTTTTTTATTCTCCTGATGCAGGTTGTACAGGGTCACTTACCTTTCAGAAGTTTGCTGAAGAGGTATATGCATTGCATTATGTATGCTATTCTTATCCAATGGTATTATTCTTTTCCAAATACTTGGTTTCTGGAGCTGGTCTAAGTCATGGGTCATCTTCACCCAAAACAAAACAAACTAGGATTTCTAAGCTTTAACAGAGAAGTAAGTAGTCCACTAAGTAACATGTGCATAAAGCCATACTCACAGCACTTGTTAGCTCTACCAATGATAAAGAGGTAATTTGATTTCCTGTTGTTGGATCTCAGTTCTTTGGGCACACTGAAACACAGAAAACGAAAAATTTGTTGCATTTGATATGCCGTGAATTTAATTGCGCAGCTCAAATTGGTTGTTGACAACTCTTATGTTTATCACTTTGCATTAAACTTAAAATAAAAAGAAAAAAAAAAAGGAGAAAAAAGGTTGTCTATCAGTCTTAACCTTTCAGAAAATATATAAAAAAAAAAAAAACAGTATAAGGGGGTGTTTTTAAAATCATATAGATGTATTTTTCTGAAAAAAATATATGCAAAAATATGAGGCCTTCCAAAGGAGAGCTGAGTTTTCCTCCAACTCTAGAGGTCATTGCTGTTTGAGTTATTTAGCTTTTCCATCTGTTTATCTTTTGGAATTGTAACCGAAGTTCTTAAGAGCACAATCTTATACTTTTAAAATTACCATTAAAGTAATTATAAAAATTTTGAAAATATAGCTAGAACATCTCTTAAAAAAATTATTGCACACATCTGTTTTTTGTAGGATTGAAGACATTATTGATGTTGTCATGCATTGACAATCTGAAATGATCAAACACATTGACTGAACATCCGGGATTCCGAACATACTTACTTATGTAGATATCCCATCATTCAATTTTTAAGTATTAAAATCTATTCAATTTGGAAAATCTTTTCAATGGTTATTCTACTACTGATAATGGTCTTAAAAGTATTCATACCGAAATTTTTTTTACTGTGCTTCTCCTTTGTAGATTTGAGAATGAACTCATTGTTGCCACCGAAAAAGGGGAACCTGCTCTGGTGATGTCCGAGTATGGTTTCAAGTCAGTTCTAGCCATATATCTTGCTCTTAAATCTCCATACTTTCACTAGATAGGGTTTAAATTGTTTACACTTATAAAGGTGGTTAACCTGAGATTATCTGCAGAAGAGTTTTCTCATTAGATGAGTATGCTTCCTACTTCAATAACATCGATCCTGTATCTCAGTATAAACACTGGACAACTAAGCAGGCATCTAATCAGTTTGGAAGATCGATGGATTCGGTCCCTAGTTTTAATGTATTTTCTGACAGAGTTATAGCAGCATTCGTTGTTAGTGATCTCGTTGATTGGGGGAGGGATATTCGGGTATTTTCTCATTTACATTTTCTAGATATACACCATAGGAGCGAGTTAAATAAGTCTTTGAACTTCAAACAATTATTTCGGTGCAGTGCAAGTCCCACAATCAACTGTTACTCTTTTTCTTCACAATCAGTCTCATGAAGTATACTTTCTGAATTTATTTAGAGTTACTTCATGGCAATCACTCTGCAAACTTGCTAACTTTTGGCACTACAATTTCAGAGATTTCATAGGGAAGAACCAAAAGAAAAGAAAGGCAGGGTTGACCTACTCTATAAAGCACCAGCATTTGTATTTTATTAGTTATTTCTCCCAAATACTTCTTCACTAAGTATTGTTATTTGAACATATATGGTATGATAATCAGAAAGTCATGACCAAGAGAAGCCCANTTCTGAAAAAAATATATGCAAAAATATGAGGCCTTCCAAAGGAGAGCTGAGTTTTCCTCCAACTCTAGAGGTCATTGCTGTTTGAGTTATTTAGCTTTTCCATCTGTTTATCTTTTGGAATTGTAACCGAAGTTCTTAAGAGCACAATCTTATACTTTTAAAATTACCATTAAAGTAATTATAAAAATTTTGAAAATATAGCTAGAACATCTCTTAAAAAAATTATTGCACACATCTGTTTTTTGTAGGATTGAAGACATTATTGATGTTGTCATGCATTGACAATCTGAAATGATCAAACACATTGACTGAACATCCGGGATTCCGAACATACTTACTTATGTAGATATCCCATCATTCAATTTTTAAGTATTAAAATCTATTCAATTTGGAAAATCTTTTCAATGGTTATTCTACTACTGATAATGGTCTTAAAAGTATTCATACCGAAATTTTTTTTACTGTGCTTCTCCTTTGTAGATTTGAGAATGAACTCATTGTTGCCACCGAAAAAGGGGAACCTGCTCTGGTGATGTCCGAGTATGGTTTCAAGTCAGTTCTAGCCATATATCTTGCTCTTAAATCTCCATACTTTCACTAGATAGGGTTTAAATTGTTTACACTTATAAAGGTGGTTAACCTGAGATTATCTGCAGAAGAGTTTTCTCATTAGATGAGTATGCTTCCTACTTCAATAACATCGATCCTGTATCTCAGTATAAACACTGGACAACTAAGCAGGCATCTAATCAGTTTGGAAGATCGATGGATTCGGTCCCTAGTTTTAATGTATTTTCTGACAGAGTTATAGCAGCATTCGTTGTTAGTGATCTCGTTGATTGGGGGAGGGATATTCGGGTATTTTCTCATTTACATTTTCTAGATATACACCATAGGAGCGAGTTAAATAAGTCTTTGAACTTCAAACAATTATTTCGGTGCAGTGCAAGTCCCACAATCAACTGTTACTCTTTTTCTTCACAATCAGTCTCATGAAGTATACTTTCTGAATTTATTTAGAGTTACTTCATGGCAATCACTCTGCAAACTTGCTAACTTTTGGCACTACAATTTCAGAGATTTCATAGGGAAGAACCAAAAGAAAAGAAAGGCAGGGTTGACCTACTCTATAAAGCACCAGCATTTGTATTTTATTAGTTATTTCTCCCAAATACTTCTTCACTAAGTATTGTTATTTGAACATATATGGTATGATAATCAGAAAGTCATGACCAAGAGAAGCCCACTTTAATTAAAGTTAGAGCTCATTAAAGAAGGTTTAGATGACACAGCTCAAAAACACTGATATGGTTGATAACAATTCCGTTTTTCCTTTTTGTTTCTTAATATATTTTAGGTCCTTTTTGTCTGTTTGGGCTAGATTTTGGCCATCTCTAGATGTTATGCAATGTAAATTGTGCAAGTTCTTCGGCATTATGGGCTAGATTTTTTATGTTTCCAGACAGTTTAAAGAATCCTGAAATAGACCCTCATGGATAATGGCCACTATGGTTAGCCACCCGCCATAGTGGAGACACAACTACTGAGAATAAATTTTGAATGGAGACTCAAGCTACATAGCTAATTAAATGGAGATGGACATTATCCTTTCGGCTGGGACACTTTTTTTCGAACCTCATTACCTTTCCTTCCATTCCACTATTTCTCAGGAGTTTTTGAGATTGTTCTGAACTGACTGGTTAAAAAAATTCAGGTTCTCTGTGACATTTTGACATCTGGAGGCCTTGTGGGAGAGAAGAATGGGCATCAACCACCTTTATATTTTGCCGCTGATGATCTTGAATACCAGATCAGTTGGCATAAATCTGGGTAGACTCTGTCTTAGAATCCAATAGGCGTCACTGAAAGAAACACTGAGACCCTATTGAAAGAGAGCAGGACTAACTTCTGGTCATGTGAATAAGCCATAAACATTGGGATATTGGCTGGGATAACACCAGTCTACTATTTTTTGCTGCCAGCTTAAGCCATGAACTGTTTTTCTTCGATTCTAGATGAATTACATTCTGCAGTTGTTACTGAACTGACCTCTAGAAATATCATAAGAATTTTTTCTACAATTCTAGATGAATTGCATTCTGCAATTGTTACTGAACTGACTTCTAGAAATATCGTAAGAGCTTTTTCTACAATTATAGATGAATTACATTCTGCAGTGGTTACTGTACTGATTTCTAGAAATATCAGATTGAATGGTCTTTACTGTTCGTTGAGATTGTACTGATAAGGTATCAACTCAGGACAGGCAGCATTTCCTTCTGAACGGCTTGGTATGGGTGCTTTCAGAATTGCCCTTGAAAGCGTCTTCAACAGGTAATGGTATGAACTTAGCCATGTGTGCGATTAGTCATTCTCGGATGCTCTCATTTTGTTATTAACAGGTTTCCTCTACATAAAAACTTGTAGTCAGTGAAACACTTGTTTGCTATGGCAACCTCGAAAAATGTCATAAATGCAATCTATGTCAATGGCCCTTTACCACCAATGAGATTCAGTTTTCCTTGATGCAAAAAGTGTAGTGTTTAGGATATGTAGGATGAATTTATTGTGGTGTTTTGCTTCGTCTAAATAAGTCTTTTTTTGCCATTAGCGTGGCATAAAAATGAGCTATCTAAATGTCGATCAGTCCAAGATGAGAGAGCTGAAGGGTAGAATTCTAGGCGGGTGGATCATTCCCCAATGGGTCTTATTTACACAGGAAGTGTCATTTGTTCACAATATGTAATATTTTTTCATCTTTTGTGTAAATGGTTTTCTACCTAAACACAGCGACTGCATTCATGCATTCAGAATATTTCTCCTGGATTGCTTTTTCTTGTGGATGTTTGACTTCATTTTGCAGAATTCACCACACACCTTTGGAGTATACGTCTTTTGGGAAACCAAATCCATTTGTATTCATGAACGCCGAAGCGATACTGAGACATCTTAAGGCATCTTCATGTCATGGCAATCCTCTTATGGATAATGGAGACACAGCATCACATGCTTTTGAAACCATGTATATGATTGGTGACAATCCTTTGGTTGACATCAAAGGAGCAAGACAGGTTTGTCCATATATGCATGGTTCATAAACATTCTTATTAATGTAAAAATTGTAACTACTTTATGTGTAATGCATCAATCATATTTGAATCCAATAAGTGCGAAGAATTCCTTTTTTCATTTTAATTCTCAGGTATATCAAGCATAACTTGCATTAACCAACCCTAAAAAATGGCTGGAGGGGGGGGGGGGGATTGTGTGCACAGCTTCTAACTATTTATCGTGTTGGTTGTTTGGCAGGTTGTTGATACTGTGGAATATATTATGGAAAAGGAGGGTACTTCTTAGTCAAGATGACATTTTTCACCATACAAAATTCTTCACCTCATATTCTACCATTGATTGATTGATTGTTCAGAATACTTCTATAGATCATTGATGTTGAGGTCTTTTTTTGGGTGATTGCAATTTTGAGCCAAATATGCCAAAGGATAGGCCTACCCAGGTCACCACTTCACCTCTCCTAATGGCTAACATCCTCGGTTCATGGGTGCCAGACCAGGTAACGACCGTTTCATGACCCTTACGAAAATAGCCATGAACCTTAATCTAATGAGTTTTCAGAGTTTCCAAAATAAAAGCTGAAGGCATGCATATACCGTAGGGCCATATGCTAAGGCAAATGTTTTGATAGATCAATACAATATTTTGTTTTGTGAATGATTATCTGTTTTGATAATTTCAAGGACTAAGGTTAATTTGGCCTCGCTGGCTGTTCAATTTCAAGAACAGGGCGCTTTCTGACCATCCCTCTCAAGAAAAAGACGTGAAAACTAGAAGTATGAAGAAAAATCTATAGGCAATTTAGCTGTGCAACCCAAGTGATCTTACTTAAGGTATGACCTCAACTGCACAGGTTAGAGCTTCAGGTTAGCTTTGAAGTGCCTGGTACAATGGTTCTTTCTTGGACACAAGAGTTGAGTGATGGGCAGAAATTTGTACTGGTTGCGCTTCTAAGAGAAATGCTTGCTTACTCCCCTCCCCCATGCCCACATCTGGTGCCCTTAAACCCCATCTTTTAGACGAGGAAAGTAAAAAGATAAATACAAAACCTTCATATCCCAATCAGTTAATGTACGGGTGTTTTTCTGCACAATAGTTTTGAGTTTGTGACACCAAGGTAAGGCTATCCGTGTGACCTTCAACAGTGAAAGGGGACTGGAGACGTGTCCAATTGATCTCCTCCAATGCCTAAGTTTGTAGGTGCTCAAAGAGAGGATAAGGACTTTTACTGTACTTGGATGGTTTAGCCGGCGTATCTTAAGACTCAATTTATTGCACTATTTATACCTTTCAAAGCGAAAACACGGTATCTGGGGGATCCCACAAAGGTTGGGAAAGGTTGGGGGCTCCTCAATGCCTAGTCATGCAATGATTACCTTGCTCAGAAGGCCGAGCATATACTGGACGTCCATTCATCATTTAATGACTTATGTTGGGCATTTATTGAGATGTGCCGAACATTCATTTCACCGACACCGAGCATTAAATATAGGCGCTCTTGAGAAGTCCATGTCAATTAGAGTCATATCTTTATCCAGATTTTTCGATATTCGAAGTACAATCCAATTTGATGTGTTTGTGAAAATAATCATTCTTTATAATTCATTACATCACGGGGGCCCACACCTTGTAGTATTTGTTACTCAAGCCCATATCTTCCTCGAGTTTACTAGGGCATGTTTCCTCTAGATTCCTTCTTCAGGACCGATCTTTTTCCCCAGTTATTAACTATTCGAGATCATGTGTCATACTCTAATACTGGTGTCGTTTTGTCTCGCTAGTTAGAGATTATAGTGTAAACCTTGTATCACCCCCTTAGCATAGAATTGTATGCTCAGATAAAGCGTGAGGTGAAGATCATTCTTGGTAAAAGCTTGTAGAACCAATGTAAATGATGTCTTTCTTCATTGTGCTGGATGGAATACATCCAGGATGTATGCCATGAAACATTTTCTAGGCTTGGGGGCAATGGTATATATAATTTTAGCATGGTTTTCTTTAATGAAAAATGTTTAGGTGGGGGCTCATTTAAGGGAAATTTCTATATGAAGCCTGATTTATGAAGAAGGTTGAACAAACCGTGCTTGTCTTTCACCCCCATTTTGTTTCTTTGCTTGACTCTCTCTCTCATGACATTGGTCAAGTATGTGAATCAAATTGACATTCCGGAATTTAGCTGGCTTGCCATCGTTGTTAGAGGTGGTAAAGGTAATGGTTACTACTTGCATAAAAAGTTCATTAAAATGCATAGATCGTGTCATGACTTTTTTAGCTTTTAGAAAGAATTCCCTTTCAAATGGGGTCTGGTAACACGTTTAAACAGATGAGGTTACCGATTAGTTTAATAATCTTAAAGTCGGGAGTTCAAACTTTGTCGTCCCCTTCTTGTAATAGTGGCAGACTAAAAAACACACATGCTTAAACACTAGTGCCTTGAAATGGAATGAATTATTTTATTGTTAGGATTTGGTTGAATTGAGTCAGGCTACCATCCCATAATGCTGTTTTCCCAATCTTCTTGCCCTTGCTACTGTTGCCCATTCTTGCACCTATAACCATAGTGGAAATAAGGAAAACAGATGCAAGAAAGTGATAGACAAATTAAAGGCTAAACAAACTAACAAGCCACTTATGAATATTGTTATCAATGGGTATTCAACTGTTCCTTTATTCCGCTTGTACCTCATGGTGGAAGACAGTTACCTTGTGCGAATGGTGTAACAACGGCCCGCTGTCTCTGACCTAGACCCAGTGAAATTGAATTCTCCGTGAAGATGTAGAGTACCAATGAATAGACAGTAAGACCTCATACACCTTAACTATAGTTTTCCACTGACAACCTTGATTGGATGTGTAGGATAGATGAAGTTGGCGAAACACAACACCCCGTCCTAAAAGGCCACTCTTTCATCCAAGGATGCCTAACCGCCGCACCTTAATTTTATGCAAATGAAGATATAAACAATAAGTTGGAAACAAGGTACAACATCCACCAGGATGCATAGATTCATCAAAATCAACAGTCCAAGGTACTAGGCAGCCAGATTCAAGAAAATTGACACAAATTTGTGAAAACATTTTGGATCAGATTAGAAAATTTGATCAATAACTTAACATAACATTTTACACATGTTTGGCTAGGATGGACTCTACAACACCTTGAGCTATAGGGTGATAACAATCAGAAGCCTCGGTAAACACCCTTTTGGCAAAGATCTTCTCTTCATCTTTTCCACTGCCTTGCACAAGAGCAGTATAGAGTGGCCGAAGGTATTTCATCCTCCCAACTTCCTTTAGAGTTTTCTCCACCTCCCCGTAGTAGTCTCTGCACCTTGACGAGATGGCCAGTTGGAGAAATGCCACCTTGACCTCGTAATCTTTTGATTCTGAAAGCCTATAGCGGGCGTCCAAGGCTGAGACCTGCACGACAAACCACCAAATTTGGAGATTACAGATTTTGAAACGTGGATCCACAAACATGTCTAAAGGAACAGTTCCATTAAACAAAGCACCACATACACATAAGCTTATATAGTCTTTTAGTGGAGGAAATGTGCACATCTTCTAAGAGGTCAAACTAAAGCATCAAAGGAATAATAACACATTCTTCAAAAGTAAGATGGCTTTTGGATCTCCCTACTGATTGTTTGGGGTTTTTTTGGTGTGTGTGTGTGTGTGTCTTTTTTTTTTTTTTTTTTTTTTTTTGGGGGGGGGGGGGGG